AAAAAACAATTTTAAATGACCCGCGACACACACACACACACACACACGACGTCGACGACGACGACGATATTAAAATTTTTTTTTAAAATGTTTTTAAAAGTACAGGTAATATAAAAAAATAATGATAATTTTGTATGCGAAAATCTTTTTTATAAACTTCCGGTTCCGGTTTTTTTTTTCATTCCGTCAAATCGTTTCCTCTTTTGTTTTTTTTTTTTTTTTAATTATTTTAAACCGAATTTTCCAAAATGAAAAAGATTAAAAGATGAGAAAATTTAACACGCGACATATCGTCAAGTCAACACGAAAACCGGAAACGGATATACTCTAAAATAAATTTCACTAATTAAAAACAATTAAAAAGACGTCTTTTGAACAACACTTGCGAAAATATTTTAATATATATTATATAACAAATAAACCAAAAAAAGAAAATTTCAAAAAAAAACATTGTTTTATATTATTATTATTATTTTTCTTCTGCTTTCGAAAAATTAATAAACGTTACAAAAATTTATTATTATTATTATCATTATTTTATTATTCGCGACCAAAAAAATTTTTTTGTACTTAATTAAATAAATGTAAACGTTTTCTCGCATTTTCACATATTCCCTTTTTTCATTTAGGATTTTTAAAAAATTTTCTGGCGTGACGTAATAATGACGTCACGCACACACAAATAAATAAGAGAGGAAAAAAAAAATTTTCTTTTTTTTTCCTTTTTTTTCCTTTTTTTTTTTTTTTTTTTTATTTTAAATCCCAATCATCGTTTTTTTTAATTATCATGGCGAGACGTATTTTAAATAACAATAAGGAAAAAAAATTTTTTTTTTTCTCTTTTTTTTTTTTTTAATAATAATAATGATAATAAATTTATATTGCAAATTTTATTTATTATTATTTTAATTAATAAAAATTTATTTATTAATTAAAAAATTATTCGAGAATAATTTATGTACGAAGGAAGGTAAATAACGTTCGTTCATTCATTCATTCATTCATTCGTGCAATTGTTTTTTTTTTTTTTTTTTTTGTTTCGTCTGATCCCACGACTTATTCCCTTTGATATATTACCGGCGAGTAATAAATAAAAAATTTAATAAATACTTAAAATAATGATGATGATGATGATGATGATAATGGGAAAATAATAATAATAACTAATTAAAATTAAAATTTTTATTAGAATTATCGTTTTTTTTTTCTATCTGTCTATCTTTCTTTTTTTTTCACATTAAATTTTATTAAACTTATTAACATTATTAATATTATCATCATCATCATTAATTATTTAAGGGAAAAATAAATATTTTAATATATAATTTAATTAATTTTCATTTCAGGTAAATTTAATTTTTAAAAAAATGCGATTAATTGATGATAAATTTAATTATTTAACGATATTTATAATGAGGAGAAGGTTGAATGGGGGCAATGAAGGGGGGAATAAGAGAGGGAGGTGAGAAAAAGTGAATTTCGGGTCTCTTTCTGAACAAACATATTCATATTAATTTTTTTTGTTTTAATGAATAAAATTTAATTTATTTAAATAATTATCACGAACTAAAATTTCTGTTTTATCTATTTACACTTTTCTAAATGATTATCATAATTTTGAGAAAGTGGAGGGAGAAAAAAGGAGGAGGGGGTTAAAAATTAAATTTTACGAATGGAAAATTCACACGCACACGCACGTTTGTTCGTTTTAATATAACAAAAGTGAAAATTATTTATTTATATTAAAAATATTATTCTTTAAAATTTTTAAAAAAGATTCGAAATTAAAAACTTATTGTCGTGGAAATAGATTTCATTAAATTTACCTGATAATATACACAAATATACGTTCGTAGAAATTTTTTTTTTACCTCAGAGAAAATTTTTGATCATTAAAAAAAAAAAAAAAAAAAAAATTATAATTTTAAAAATTATAATTATTACTGATAAAAGCATTGTTTTTATTTGTTTAACTTATGAGTAAAACGTTTTTCTTTCAATGAAAAAATTCATTTTTTTCGTTTTATAAAAAAAAAATTTTTTTCTTTTTTTTCTTCTTCTTTCACGTTTTTTTTTTTTTTTTTTTTTTTTTTTTTTTTTTTTGGCCTTCCACCCCTTCCAGTTAAAAAAAAAAAAATTATTGGTATTATTTAAAAAAATTTTCTTTTAAATTTATTCCTTTAAATTTTCTTTTTTTTTTTTACCCCTTCCGGGTTCGTAGGAGGGAGACGGAAAAAAAAGAAAAAAATTTTTTCCAAGAAATTCATTTTTAAACGATTCCGCCATTTTAATGAAATTTTTTCGTTTTTTTCCTCCCGAAAAAATTTTTTTTTTTTATTCGCTTTTACGACTCCATCGCAAAAATTTTTCTTTTTTTTTATAAAATTTAATGTTTAATTCTTAATAATAATAATAATAATAAATTTTGAAAAAAAAAATTATTTATGAATTATTAAACAAAAAGAAAAAAAAAATAATAATAATTTTATTTTTTTTTATTTTTGTTCACACAGTCGGTTAACCGTAAAAAAAAAAAAATTATTTAACTTTTTGTCATCAAATGATTCGTAACAAACAAACAAACAAACAATAACAAAAAAGAAAAAAAACAATGAATGCAGCGAAAGAAAAAAGAATAATATAACAAAAGGTTAATAATTTTATATTATGTGACAACTCAAAAACAAGGAGAAGAACACACACACGCGCACACGCGATTTACTCTAGCAAAGCAAAAGAAAACAAACAAACAAACAAAAATGAGGTGAGGATGAAGAGAAAGAAGGGGAGGAGGAGGAGGATGATGAGAAAAATAAAGGTGAAATAAAAACAACCCAAAAAAAAAAACTTATCTTTCATAACAACGCGAAAAGCAAATAAACGCGAAAAAAATTTTCCAAGGCGACGACAAAGACAACGACAACGACAAAAAAAAAAAGAAAGTTTAGTCGTGAACGACTCTACCGCGTTGTCGTGTATTCTAATGTCCAGATAAAAGAAGAGAAAAACAAAAAAGAAAAAGAAAGAAAGAGGAAAAGAGAAGAATTATTAAAAAAAAAAAAAAAACAAACAAACAAAAAACAAAACCGGAAGTAATAAGTTTTTCGTATAATTTTAATACAATTTCCGATAAAAATTCAATCACTATCGGTTAATTTTATTACTATTATTATTATTATTATTTTTTTTTTACATAGGCGCGCACATACACGCACACACGCACACCTTCGATTAAAAAAAAAAAAAACAAAATGACCAACAGCAAGATAAAAAAATGGCCGCAATTTTTCGTTTTAATTCTATGTAAGTTAATTGATTTTACCTTCGATCATTATTATTATTATTATTATTTTATTACCGCCGTAATATCATTATTATTATTATTACCGTAATTTTATTTTTTGTACTTTCGGTTATATTATGAATGCAAGTCGTGGAAAAAAGAAAAAATTTTTAAAATTACAATCAATCAAGTATGAAATTATTTTTTTTCGAATCAAAACTATTTTTTTTTTCATTCTAAAAAAAAAATGATTGAAATAAGTTTAACAAATTTTTTTTTTTTTGTTCGAAGTTTAAAAAAATTAATTTTAATAAATATTTCTTTTTTTTTTTGTTGCATAAGCAGTAGCAAATTATAAATTTTTTTAACAATATCAAAAAGTTGAATTAAATTTTTCTTTTTTTCTTTTATCGATAATTTTTATTGTTTTTTTTTTTATTTTTTAAATTTATTTATAATTTTTTTTATAGCAAAATTATAATTTAATAAATAATAATAATAATTTCATATTTTCCGTGGCAAATAATTTAATTTTATAGCAAAAAAAAAAAAAGGAAAAAGTTTACAAAAAAAAAAAAAAGGGGAAAAAAAAGGAAAATGATAGAACGAACGAGAGGTTGTGCTCATTATTTGCCAAAACATTATCTTTTATCTTGTAAAACAAATTATTTGCTGGTAGCAAACTTTTTTTTTTTGTTGTTAAACGTCTCCGATGACCGATATTTTTTTTTATTAAACACGATGTAAAAAGGAGAAAATTGCTGTTGGCTTTTTTTTTTTTTTTGCGTCGGCGGCAATGACGACGACGGGGTGAGGGGAAAAGGGAAAACAATGAGAGAAAGAGAAAGAGAGAGAGAGAGAGAAAAAAAAGTTAAAATTCAGGAAAAGCGGTCAGAAAACGTTTGCAAAACCGCGATTAACTCTAAATTGAATTTTTTTTTTTTTGTAATCACGAGATTTTTTGCAAATAAAAAATTATTATTTTGCTACCGGTAACTGTTGTAATTTTTTTTTTTTTTTCGAATTTTAAAATTACCTTTATTAAATTTCACTTTTTTTGAAACTTTATTAAAACTTAATATTTTCCCATTTCATTATTTTTTATTATTTTTTGCTACAATTAATTTTTTTTAATTACGTCAAATCATCATCATCAACGACAACATCGCGTTCGTCTTTCATAATTTCATTAAATAATTTTATTTTAATACTAAACCGAATTGTTCGTTTTTATTAAATTTGCTACCGTTTATAAAAACCCGTCAAATTTATTTGATTTCAGGTAACGTGACCATATTGTCATTCGGTCTACAAATGGGATGGCTCAGTCCTCTCCAACCATCTTTACAATCGGATAATTCACCTTTAGGTATAAGACCATTGACGACCGAAGAAATTTCATGGATCGGATCATTACCGAGCGTGTCACTAATATTGGGCTCCCCATTTTTCGGTTACAGCCTTAACAGATTCGGTAGAAAATTAACGTGTCTTATTGCCACGGTACCTAATTTAATAAATTACATATTACTCCTATATTCTAAAAACGTTTACGTTATTTATTTGGCACGTTTAATCGGAGGATTTTGTTCGAGCGGCGGATTCGTCATGTGTCCGATATACATAAACGAAACGTCGGAAACTCGAATGAGAGGATTATTGGGAGGCCTAATGGGATTTATAATTAAAATCGGCGTCATTTTTTCATACGTTCTCGGAAGTTACACGTCTTACACGACGCTCAATTTGATCAGCGCTTTGCCGACGATATTTTTTCTCATTTGTTATTTTTGGTTACCGGAATCACCGGTTTATCTAGTGACACAAAATAAAAGAGAAGAAGCCATAGTGGCATTAGAAAAATTAAGAGGATCCGATTTTAAATTAATCGAAAAAGAATTAAATCAAATAGATGAAATAATAAAAAGCGATTCGTCCGCTAAAAATATATCATATAAATGTCTTTTCACGAACGTGGCAACAGCAAGAGGTTTGCTCATAGTATGCGGCATGTACACGTTTCAAATGTTGTGCGGATATCCGGCGATTGTGCGGTACGCGGTTAACATTCTTCAAAATTCTTCAAGTAATTTATCACCGGATGTTGGAGCGATTATAATTGCGGTCGGACAACTTTTAGCTTGTTTGGCAGGAGCTACTCTTATCGATAAACTTGGTAGAAAAACATTAGTGATGACATCAACGGCAATTATGTGTATTAATTTGATCATATTTTCCGGTTGCATATTCGGTCTTTCTTATTTCGAAACGACAAAATATTCCGACGTTATAAAAACGGTACCTACTGCCACGTTGATATTATTCATATGCGGTTATGCATTGGGCTACGGTTCGGTACCTTTTGTCATACTACCGGAATTA